GATGAATGGCATTTTGGCAAAAGGCCCATTAATCTCTGTGTGACAGAGAGACTTTTGGTGTAATATCCAAATAATAAATAATGCACTAAATTTGTAACTTTTCTGGAATATTTTGGACCATCTTAATGCAGGTTGGAAAGCTGATTAAGTCATCTTCTAATGAGCAAAAGGCATTCTGGGAGAATGACATGCTTAAAGATGGGGTTGCCCTAGTGGGACATTTATGAGATAGAAATAAGAAAATCAATGTATGTAAATTCCAGGTGTAGACAGGATAGCTATTTTAGAATAGAATTGTTTAACTCCTGTCCTTAGTTTTAAAAGTATAAAAGATGTAAAGGTTTATATAAGGTTGTAAGACATACAAAATCATTTTTTTGTAGAGCATTAGATAATGTACAACAATGTACTTCATTTGTTTAGTCAGAATTATTCTTTGGCTAAGTTATCAGGAACTGGTAAGAGGCATATCCTATCACCTTATATACCTTGAATAAAATCTACCACTGGGTAGTATTTAGCCTAAGCTGATTTCCAAATCTTTCCGAACACCAAATATAAAAGTAAACATCTGTATTTGTGATAAACTACAAAAACATGCTCTCTATTTTACTCATCTGTCACTGGAATATAGAGTTTTAACTAAGTTCCCTATATACTCAGATGGTTCTTTCTAAATATGAAAGAAAGGCATTCTGTCACATAAATGTAAAATATGTGGCAAGAAAATTAAAACTCTTATTCTCTTATTTTCCCTCTTGGCGGTCTTTCATGCAGGAGGGGAAATCTCCAGCTACATCATTTTGTTGTGCTTCTGTTGGCATGCATCTGAGACATGAACTGTTTTCTGTAGCCTCTGGTAAGAAGTTATTCAGAGGGTGAATTTGATCCACAAGACATCCACAATTGCTCAGGAAGATGGTGGGTTATAATGGTGTTTTATGGTGTTTAAAGAGTGTGAAACTCCTAGCAACAGATGACCAGTGCCAACAAATAGGTGGCCTTTCTTCCTCTCTCATGGAAAAGCCATAAAGTCTAGAATTGTGAAAGGGCACCAGGAGTCAATGGTCTGCGCCATTTCAGTTTCCATTATGTATCCTTATTAACAGATTTCCTTTGCACCTTTGTTGCTAATGATGTGGACAAATAACTGAATTTCTATTATCCTTTATTGATGTAGGCCTAATTGAGTGGATTTTCTATAGTTTGTTCTGTGATTTTCCAGAAGGAAAAGAAACATTTTTTGAAAAAGAAGAAATTTAGGTCAATTTATAGAATGATGGATCTTATTTTAAAACTAGATTTTAGAGTCAAATAGATTTTAAAATGTAAGAAGTCATGTTATAGGCCTCCATTTCTTGTTTCTAGACTAAATTTGAGAAAGGGAACCAAGGAAAAGGAAAAATAAAGCAAGAACTAAAAATTGAATAAAAAATTCTACAAGTAGCAATGATAGGAAATAGAATAACATAAAAGTGATTGCTTGGTTGGTCGATGATATATTTTTGAAATACTGGAGCTAGAATAAATTTGCCAGTATAAGATTCTTGGGGGTAAAAATCCTAAGTTTCAATGAATGATTATTTAAATTGCTTTGTGTTCATTTAGTTCAAAAGTTAATGTCATATATATCAATAGATATTACTTGGGCCATGCAAATTTTCCTGCTAAATAACTGTCTTATGTGTTGGTAGTATTCTTAGACTAGTTTCTTTTCCATTTTTAAACAAAGGGCTCTATATGATGCTTTACTTTAAAAATGAAAGTGAATTTGGATAAATCACTGTATTTCCCTTTTACCATTCTCAAGCGAGTTGATATTTTGGATTATTTTCTTTTTAATTCCCACCTCCTGAAAGTATTCCACAAGGAAATAGACAGTTGAGGTTTGCTATCCTTTTGTTTTTAAATCTGGCTTTCACTTATATAAAACAATAATGGGTAGCTAGACAGGAGATACTGGCTTAAATAATTTAATTTTTCCTAACATTATTAAATGCAAAAATATCCTTCACTATGTTTATCAATTTGCATTCTAATTAAAATACCTTTTTTGAATGAACAGTAGGTATTGATTTGTGATTTCTTGTTAATTTGTCGCTCAGAATACAGCCATTTTTCACTACACTTTATGATATGTATTCACACCATATGGCAATCTTTGGTTATTCTTCAAAGTTTTACTAAGTGTAATGGGATATGATTTGGTTTTAATGGAAATTCCCAAATAACGCAACTGAAGAGGAAGAATCACTGTAGAACGAGGCTGGGATGGCTTTGTTTCAACTGTCATATGTATGCACCAGAAACAGAAACTACATGTTGAATATCTTCATTAAAAAGACTTAGGTTGAGAAAATGAATTATTAGCTAACAGCTAACCCCATGAGAGAATATTGAACAGAGATTTCGGTTCTTGGTTGATAACCATCCCCTTTGGTGAGACTTGAGGAAGCAATATCTTTCATCCAAGGCCTCAGATATTAGAGAGCCCATTACTTCATCAGAGTGATCCATAGGAATTGAGATTTGGCTCAAAGGCCAACAAAGTTAATAATAAAGTCTGACTTACCTTCTCAAGAAGTTTATTACATTCTTTTATTCTTTAAGCCTTTTGTACCAAAGATGTAAAATGAGAAATAGTATACCATAAGAAGTCTGCAGTCATTAATGAAATAATTGATAGAATACATTATGATATTTTTATGCGGGGAGCCAATTATGATACCAACATATCACTAGACAATAATGGGCCTCTAATTCTCTTCTAATCCTCATGCTGGGGAAGAAAATCTGCCTTTGAATCATTAAAAATTGAGAAAATGATGGACTTGCCTATTTAGTTGTCTAATTTTAGAGTGGAAAGCTATCTGCAGCCATAGGAAAGCATCCTCCCCAGCTCTAGCTTCCAATCCCATTACATCCCACTTCATCCTCGTCGGTGCGGCTCCTCCCGCCACGTTCTCACTGCGCAGCACAAAACAAACTAAGTTAAGTCGCGCTGGGGTGTCTTTGTGAGGCCATTCGGAGCAGGAAGAAAGAAACAAAGAGCAAGACAGAGGGGCTGAGGACACAAAGAAAACAAATAAGATCTGAAAGAACAGAGAGGGGAGGAGAGGGAGGAGAGGGAAGAGCGGGGAGGAGAGGGAAGAGCGAGGAGAGAAAGATGGAAGAGGGGCAGAGAGGGAGGGAGGGGGAGAGAGAGAGAGAGAGAGAGAGAGAGAGAGAGAGAGAGAGAGAGAGAGAGAGAGAGAGAGAGAGAGAGAGAGAGAGAGAGAGAAGGAGGTGGAAGAGGAGGAGAAGGAGGGAGAGGATGGGGAGGGGGAGGAGGAGGAAGAGGAAGAGGAGGAGGAGGACCCGCTAGGCCAAACATAAATCCTCCACGCCGTTATCCATATCAGTCTTTGTTATGGGAAGTTGCCTTTAGAGAGCTGGGGGAAAAATCAATTCCTAATTAATAAGGGTCTTTATCCCTTTATAAGCTTTTCCTGGAACTGAGGAAGGGCTAATTAAAAATCGTACAGTCACACCAATAATTACTGATTTTAGGTTTCGTATTTTCATGTGAGGACGTCCCCCCGCCCCGTCTCCCTCCCTCTCCATCGTGAATTGTGTTACCTGCACTTCATGGGTTCTCAAATGCTCGCCTAAGGATGTAAAGTGCGAAGGGAGATCCACCAGGCCCTCTGCGGAGGCCGCTAGTACCGGGCAAAGGGCCTAAAAACCCTTTTTCCTTTTTGGAAGGCCTGCACGTGCCTAGTCCCTGCTTCTCCTGCGGTTGGAGGTAAATGCAACCCTCGGGGGCAATTCCTCACGACCTCCTCCTCCTCCTCCTCCTCCCTCCTCCACAGTTCTCGGAGTGCCACCTGTTTTAATGCTTACCCTTTATCTGCCTTCCCATTAGCAAAGTCAATTCACTGTGCGACAATCTTGTCAGGGAAAGCAGCCCAGTAGCCAAGGCAGGGCGACTGGAGCGTTTTGGAGGGAGACCCACAATAATGGGTACCCTGGATAAAGAATTCGATCCTCCACCCTTCGATTTTACCTAATGGCAGGACAAGCATCAGTTCCTTCTCTATCTGTCTCCAGCCCAGTCCCTGAGGCTCTATTCTTGCCTGGTAACCGAATCAAGTCGTACCTGGGCGTGGGGCCGCTGGCATCATTAGTACCCAGTCCTGCCAAAGGTTCTAACCTCTGGCTCACCCAGGAAAATAGTGCCACCTGGCAGAGTCATGAGCGGTTTAAAATGCAACACAAACCACTCTTGCATGCCTTATCAGATCATTTTATGAGTCCTAGGCAGGCGGTGAATTCTGCTTCTGAGAGGAGGCTGTTGGGGGAAACGCTGCCCAGTTGTGCAAGAATGCCCCTTCCCTCCCCCCGGACCCCCCTCCCCCTCCGCCTTCCTCCCCCCCCCCCCCCCCCCCCCCCAGACTCCAGCCAAGTACTCAGCTAGAGCCTGTGCAGCCTGCGGACGCCCTCCGGGCGGCTGCTTGTCCCCCCGGGGAGCCAGGCGGGGCGGGGTCAGCTCCCCCTCCGCTCGCGGGGCGGCGGGAGCAAACCCACGCCGACTTTGGGAGTTCCTTTCTGCCTTGTATGGAGGGTTGTTCCCGGCCCGTCCCCGCCCGACCGCGCTGACGCCCAGCCCTCCCGCTGCCCACCCCCAGCCACCTCCCTCCGACTGGCCGGGAGAAGCCAGACGGAGCCTTTCCCCTCTCTCTTTCTCCCTCGCTGCCACAAGTCTCGCTCCCAGCCGTTCCCCATTCCTGCATCTCCCCCCCCTCCCCTCCCAGCGCCGTCACCCCTCCTCCGCCCCCGCGCCCGCCTCCTCCTTCGCCTCGGCGATCAGGGGAATAAATCAGGGAGGAAACAGGGAAGGGAGAGCGAGGGCGCACGGTCGCCGGCAGCCTCGCCGAGGTCCGTTTCCAAAGTCGCCCTTGATGGCGGCCGAGGCGAGGCAGGCGAGGCAGCCGTGGCGAGGAGGAGCCGAGACGCTTTAGAGGGTCCGCCCGCCACCGCCCCTGCCCGGTCTCCGCCGTTCGCCCACGCCGCTCCCCGCCCACACCCCGCGCCCCTCCACGCCTCGGCCCCCCGCGCGCCAGACAGCGCTCCGGACGCCGGCGATCTCCGGGCACCGAGCGCTCCGGGGTCCTCCACCCGCTGCCGCCGCTGCCAGCCCCGCTCGGGTCCCAGCCCCGCGCCGGTCCCCCCCGATCGGCGAAGGAGGGGAATTGAGCTTCGATCGCGAACATGGCTGCTGGCTGCCTGCTGGCCTTGACTCTGACACTTTTCCAATCTTCGCTGATCGGCCCCTCGTCCGAGGAGCCCTTCCCTTCGGCCGTCACGTAAGTCGGAGGGCTGGGTCTGGCCGGGCTGGGCGGGGAGCGAGGGCCGAGGGACGGCGAGGGATGCCCGGGGAGTCGCAGGCGGGGATCGGCTCCGGGAGTTGGCGGGGGTGGTTCTTGCCATGGGGGTGGGGAGCTAGCGGCCGGAGAGCCGGGCTGGGAGCCCGGGCAGCCGGGGAGGAGCGGGTTGAGCGCTGCGCGCGGCTCGCGGCTGGAACGCGCTGGGAAGCGGCGTGTCGGAGCCTCCGCGGAGCCGGGAGCCGAGTCCCGGCTGTCCCGCGAAACGTCCGTCGACCCCCTCATGGCTTTCTCAACCCATCGGGTCCCTAACAGGATTCTCCAAGCTCACGAGTTTTAACTGGACTTGGAGGGGGTGAGGGGGAAAGTTTCCTTGGCGCACCTAGTTTAATAAAAGTTGTGCTTTAGTCGGGTGTTGGACCAACCGTAGTTCATTTCAGGCTTGCCCGTGCAGCGTGGGCTTCTTGTGCACTTGGCCTCTAGGATGCTAGCTAATTGCTGGAGTGGCCAAACTCACCTAGATCCCCGATTACTGGGCGCCTTGGACATCGTTTCAGGTTAGAGGCGAGGTGGCTTCGCGCAGCTGAGCGTGCTGTCCACCCGGGCTCGCAGGTCCTGGGGCCGCCAGGACCTCTCTTAACCTTTTTGTTCTTGAAGCTTTTAAGTGCCTACCAAACGAGCTACCTACTCTGAGAATGAGTAGAACCCCTATTCTTTGAGGAAAGGACTGTTTCTACCGTCCGCTGTCGTTTCCCCCTTATTTTTAACACCTCTAAAATAACTTTTAAAATTAAAAACAACCCTCGTTGCTATTCTGAAAATAGTGTTGAAAGGTAGCTGTAGTCAGTCACACGCAAGAAAGGAAAGAAACAGTACAATCCTATCCTTTCTTAGGCTGCAATAAGGTAGCAGAGTCAGTGGCACACATAAATGTATACTTTTTTTTTTAATGCACGGAATAGCTCATCAGGCATTCTGGGAAAACCTTTAGTTTGGTTCTTGAAGGTACTTTAAAGCTTCTGAGAGTGGATAATCCTAAATGGATGAGTCACTTTAATGCATTTTACATAACAAAAACAAAGCCTAAGGTAGCCTTCCCGGTATTTTCCCTGCTGGGAATTATCCGCTCTCCTTTGTTGACTGAATGTTGTAAACTGGAGGCTTTTTTTCTTTTTTTTTTTGGGGGGGGGGGGGGGAATGTTTCCTAACAGAACGTCCTTACAGTCTGAAACCTGAAGCTGTTGAGATTCAGTTTAAAATATTTATTACCTCAGGTGTCAGTGCAAGAATCTGGCACTGCATGGTTTCACCTGGAGAGTATAGAATATATATATATATATATATATATATATATATATCCATTGATTTATAGTAATTCCTCTCTTTTGATAATCTTCCATAAAAATGATTGCAGATCTTTTTCTGTTGTGAAAGGAAAGGGTAAATGCCATCTGTAGATCCTCTTTTAATTGGGAAGATGTTCCAACGGGTTATTTTTAAGCATACAAAGTGTTAGGAAATTCCTTAAGATGCTTCAAAAGCAGTTATTAAGCAATTACACTTTTATTGATTGATAGCGTTTAGTCATCCAGTAGTCTGGCCTGTTAAGTGAGAACTCGGTGAGTCGCTTGCGTTTTGTGTCAAATGAGTAGTGGCTTTTAAATCGGTCACATTCTAGATGTGTCCGGAGTACGCATTTTGAAATTGTTTGCAACTGACAGTTTGCCATTATTCCTGTCATTTGGGGACCATGTATCATCAGGGAAAACTATGACCTTTCAAACAGAACAAAATGAAGCTTATTATCCCTGTATATATTATGGTTAAATATTAATGTTAAAATTTATATTGTAAAGACCTGTGTGTAATGAAAGCCTTTCCCAATCAAAGTTACTCAATTTCCATGATCAGAAACTTACTAAGGTCTAGAAAGGGAATACATTTAGTGGCCTAAAAGAGGAATTAGGACACCACAGTTTCACAATTTGTTTTCTTTGAAAGGACTTGATTTTTTTTAAGTTATAGAATTGTTTGTTTTCCCCCCTAAATTACATGATCCATTCATTAATTTACTAAAAAGAACTTGATGGATTTTTTGGCATAGGCCAGTGTCTGGTGGGCAATATTTATTGTACATTTAGAAGAATACTATATCTGCATTTATTTGTTGGAAAGTTATTAACCTAATCTCATTAAGAGATGAGTAATGATAAATTAATATTTGTAGATTTTGAAGTAAAATTAGTGAAATTTTAAATAAATGTGGTATTAAGTGTGCCAAGATGTTGCATTTTTAAAAAAAATTCATGAAAACATTTCATAGGCATTGTTTATTGGGAAAAATCTCATGCATTCTGGAAAAAAAATCAAATTTATAAAAACTTAGTGGATTGTGCCACTGACTAAAGGCAAATTATGCTTCTATACATAGGTTTCCTTAGAAAACATTAGTAAGTCCCCCCCACGTTTTTCTTTGCAATTTTACTTTTCAGAGAAAAAGTAATGTGAGGAATTTTATTAGCAGAAGAGGAAGAACATACCACAAACATAGATCAATTAGGTACTAATTGGAGTTGGATCTGAATTACAAATACTAATGAAAGTACTTTTTTTTCCCTCCAGTAAAGGGTAGTATGATCTTGTTTTATTTTTTAAAGTAATGTATCATTCTAAATACTTAATCTTTTGTTCTCTCTAGTTTAATACACATTCTGATTTAGCATATTCTTTTGGATTAAAATAGAAATTAAACTATTCTAAGAATTAATACTAATATAACAGGATTTTTTTTTTCAGACAAAGGACTTTTGATATAATTCTTTCTCTCAGTTAGATGTTTCTTATAAAAAATATTTGTCACAGAAAGGTGTGAAAGGAATACAGGGTATGGTGGCAAGTGCCTTCTTTTCATGCTTATTGTTTTATTTTTAAATGCAAGGTATGTCATTTCTGTATTATAGTCTATATGTCATATTTACAAACAGCTTCAAAAAGGCAGCTCTCTTTTTCTAGAAATCACTTGTTGGCACATATGTTAAAATATATCACATTTGAAATTAAGGAATACACATATGATAACCAGTATGTTAATGTTAATTTGTTTTTAATTTTAGAATCTATTCTTAAGTCTAGGCTTTTTTTTTAAGCATTGCAGGTTTATTTTTCATATTAAACTTTTTAATCAGTGACATGAAAAAGCCAATCAGTCCACAATAGCTGACTGAAAGATTCATTAAATATATATGGAATTTAATACAAACTTATAATAGTGTAAATATATAACTAAGATTTATAATTACATGCAAGAAATCAGTACAAACTATCAGAACAGAATTTTGAAGAATACTTACTATATACTTTTTTCTATTATTAGTTCTATTGTACTGCAGAAAATAAGTCTCTGTGTGTTCTGACATTGGCATGGATATCTCTCTCTATTCTATTATTTGAAAGTGGTATGGTTATCTTCACAAGCTTAGGAATTTCTGGTACATTTATATAAACTAGGAAATATGCCCTGTGGTAAAATACAAGATAAAGTATTAAGTAGAAAGTAAAACACTTAACACCAAATATTATTCCATTGTTCAGATCTTTCTTTACTTTGTTTTTTATCAGCTTAACCATGTGACATTTATTATTCTGTAGGTGTATGCTTAAAATAAGCAAGTGTAAATTTGTGTTTTTCATATAAATAGATACATAATGTTAAATTTAACATTGTTATACCTCAATGTGGATGTAGGTATTTGCATTGCTAGCATTGGTAGAATCCAAAAAGACATTCCAGAAAGAATGAAGAATCTAAGCTGCTTTGGTACTTCAAGAGGAGATAAAATAGACCTCCATTATCTCTTTTTTCCCCATTGTCTCCACTAATTGTAATTTAATAACACATAAATCAAGAATATAAAGCAGGTGGTTCATTTTGCAAACAGTTAAAACCCACTATCTTTCTTCAGAGAAGCCTGGCTATATAGACATCTCTTCATCATTTCTCAGCATTCAAAATCTCCTGGGCTTTCACATTATTTTTTCAAGAATATAAAAACATGTAAAATATGTGTTGTATTCAAGTTTAGTGTTTGCTTTACTGAGTATATATTAACAAGAAATGACAATTCATTTAGGCATGTTTAAGAGTAATTTTTAGAATTGTGCTCACAACAAACTACATTATTTCATGTATATGTTTTATATTTAATATAAGTATCATTTTATAAAATATATACTTTTGTCTTCTTATCCTTAGGTTTTAATGTTGTATATGAAAATTTCCATGAAAGTAATTTTTTATTCTTAATCCGTTTCCTACTAGGTATTGTCAAATTTATTTGCAATTTTAAGCTGGAAATTTAAGTGTATAGAATGAGATAGATTTTCGCAAATCACACAACTCATTGATTTACTTCAGTGCTTTAGCTGTGTAGTCCTATGCTCTTTCTAATGTGAAAATTTTGAGAAGGATCCGAATTTCTCAGTAGTTTAAAGAGTAACATTTAATTATCTTAAAGTAACAGCCTCCCATCATTAATGTTAAAATAATGATCTGAGGTTATATTCACAAACCACATTAGCTGTTTACAATGGAGAACTAACTATTTTATTGTACCCGCTCTGAATTTACAAAAAGCTTGAGTTTGCATGGGGTGTTATGTCACTGTCAGCCAGTCTTTTCTTTTATGGACTGCCCACAGCAAAGTGACAAGGGCTCCCAGGTCATCAAGATGCCCTCCCAATTACTAGAACTGGGCCTTAGCGGCTACAATGTATCTTATAGATTTATGTTTCTGTGTGCTCTAACATGCAAATGGTGCTGTCAGATTGCTTATAGTGTTGAAAGAAAAAGGTGATTGACTTCAGTGTCAATTCCGAAAAGCTGATAGCACTTTGGAGTGAAAAGTAGTAAACACGACCCATTAACCACTTTTTCTGAGTGCCCACAAGAATGCTATTGCAATTAAATTTTTTGTCTTGTTTAT